TGATTTGACCAGTACTCTAAAACACAGCTGAAGGTCTTCAGAAGGTAGAAACATTGAAATGATATTTATCAAAATAAATAGTTGTATTGAGTGATAAATGTGAATCATAAAGGTTTGAGTCGCACAGAAAAATACAAAGAAGGAATTAAGAAATCACCTGAATCTCTCTCTATACTAGAGAGATTGCCATAGAGATCAGCCTTCCAAACTTTTCTTTTATGTACTCACCCAGAATTTTACATATGTTTTAAACAAAATTTGTAAACAATATATACTGTATAAAATCCCTTTACCTTTTTTACTTAGTAATAACCTGTCGCAAATCTCTTTTCATATGGATAATACAGAGTCTTAGCCTTCATTTTGAATGGCTCTATCCCACCTCTATTTCATCAGTGAGAGAGACTCTTGAACACACAGGTTTGCACGCTTGTCCAATTATCTCATGATAGATTCCTGGAAGTGTCTGCTGGGGCAAAGGGCATGCTCATTTAAATTTTTGATATATTTTACCATTCTGTATCCCTGAAAAATTGCTCTGCTGTGACATCCCTGTTACAACATGAGACAGATGCCTGTTCCTGCCCAATTTGAGGGGCAAAAAATGTTTTGCTTTGCTTTGTTTTTCTTTGGTTTATTGTGTCTGCGTGTGGTTTGTGTTTTACTGAGAAGGACAACATCTTTCTGTGTGTTTACTGGCCTTTTGTATTTTTTCTCTTTTGAATGGTCTGGCCAAGTTGAATTTTGTCCATTTTTAAATTGGAGTGTTAGTTAATTCCTGAAAGATTTTGAAGAGTCTTTTTATATTAGTCATATTAAGCGTATGTGTTGCAAATATTATTCTCAGTCTGACATTCATCTTTTAACTTAGCTTATGGAGGTCTGTTTTGTTAACATGTAAGATTTTAGATTTCAATTCAGTAAAATTTATCAACCTTTTCTTCATGGCATTAGATTTCCTAGCATTATAAAGACATTTTACAACCTAAGATTATAAAAACACTCACCTGTATGTTCTTTAATGGTACTTTTTTTTTTTTTTTTTGGAGACAGATTCTCAAGCTGTCACCGTGGGTAGAGTGCCAATGGTGTCACAGCTCACAGCAACCTCCAACTAGGCTCAAGCGATCCTCTTGCCTCAGCTTTTCTATTTTTAGTAGAGACGGGGTCTCGCTTTTGCTCAGGCTGGTCCGAAACTCATGAGCTCAAGCAATCCACCCACTTCGGCCTCCTAGAGTGTTAGGATTACGGGCGTGAGCCACCGCACCCAGCCATTGATAGTACTTTTATGGTTTCTTTAGTTGAATTTTCAGATTCATCTGAAAAAATTCTGATATGAACAAATGAATTGGGGAGTTCATTTTTAATAATATACTGACGAATAACAGAATATCTTTAAAGAATGTGTTGCACATGTACTAAATACCAAATTGGAAGTATTGGATTAGCACTAAGTGCCCATATGGAAGTAAACCTCAGTGAAAATCACGCCGGGGCAGGGGGATGGGTAAATTTATACCTTCTGGGTACAGTGCGTACTATCTGAGTGAAGGGCACACTCTGTACAAAAACAAAATATGTACATAAAACATGTACTCCCTCGTATTATAATATACATATAAAATAATAAAATATGTGTTGAAAAGTTATAATTTGTGCATCTTTTTATCTCAGTTGGTTATAGATGCACTCATCCCATAACTGTCACTAAGGGCACCGGCCACTGCCACTGCCTCCTCTCCTCCCTGTGGCACGTCACAAAGAGATGGCCTCACTTCTACAGACACCACCACTCTGTGCAACAAACCCAAGGGCCAGAAAATGCTGGGTTATACTAAACACACACACAGATGTACAGATTTGTGTTTGATAAAGAAAAAATCTGCTGTTATCCTCTCTTTTTAAAAACCACACTTTTGAAGAAATAAGGCATAGTATTACATTCACCACTCCTAAATCGTGTCCTTTAGTGTTTAGATTTAAAGACATACACTCACACGCTCACGTCTTACATAGAACAGAAGCTGGTGTAGGTCAAAACAGAGCAAGAACAAACCATAGGAACACAGATACCTTAAAATCCAAAATAAACAGATTAACTGCGTGGCTAACTGGTAAGCTTTTATTGGAGAACTACACATCTACAATAAACTGATGAAGTATTTCACCCCCAGTATAATTGGAAGGGGCCCATCAACTGTCTTCAGAAATGTAAACTGCTTGAGTCTGAGGTCTGTGCATCTTCAGGCTCTGCCATGATGATGACCACACTCATTTGGTGCTACTGGAAGGCTTTACATACAGCAATACATGTGAGTCTCACACAGCCCTACGAAGGCAGGTGAGTACCAGCATTCATCACACTATACAGACAGGGAAAGTAAAGCAAAAAGAGTCTCAGCCATTTGCAGAGACCGTATGTGAGTGAGCTGCTAAGCTAGAATTTGAAGCCAAGTTGCCAGCGTTGCAGCCTGTGTGCTTACCATGACATTGCATTTCTGATCTACTGGAAACAGCCCTCATTACCACACGAGACTCCAGACATCCTCATTTAAAAGCTAGGGCTGAGCTCAAGCAGCCACTTGACAATTAATTCCCCACAACTCCTGGGCAATGGTTAGGTTGGACTTGATGGCAAAGACAGATTTCTTGTTTCTGAAGGAGGAATCTCCTTAGTCAAGAGGCAGGTTCTAGCCACGGTCTCACTTCTTTACTTACACAAACTCTCACGGTTCTTAGCTACAGTTACCTCTTCTATCAAGTGGGGATAGTAATGATATTAATGAAAATTACACATGAAAAATCACTTTTCACTGTAAAGTATAAGTTAAACAGTTGTGTTTTTGAGGCCATGTTAATAGTTCAGGGGCAAAAGAACCAGCCCCACGTAAGGGTCCAGGTGCCAAAGCCCAGGCCTGTGCAAGTCTCTGCAGAAGAGCTGAGGGCCTGCCTGAGGCCCACAGGCCAGGTGGGCACTGCCACGGAAGACTGCCAGGAGGGTGCTCATGGCAAAGCAGGTCCTTGCTGTCACAACAGCCAGGATCCCAGGAAGAGGCCACTGTTCTGCGTATCTACTTCTGTGAAGCCGCTCAGGAGAAACTAACTCCAAGGAGAAGAGGTGTAGGTAACGAAACCTCCCACCTCCCCCTCTGGTCCCTGAGCCATGTTGAGAGCTTTCCCCAGCACCAGCAAGCCTTGCCTGCAGCTCCAGTCCTGTCCACCTTTCCCTGAATGGTGCTGGAGGACCGGGAAGCACCCAGCAGCTTCTCCACCACCTTCTCCAGGGCCCGTTCGGCCTTATTTTCTGCCTGAGGAAGGGCTCCACGCAGCTCCAGACAGAATCGGGCATCTGGAGGGGCGTGAGAGCCACTATAGGGAAGCCGACAGGACTCTGAGGGCCTGCCAGCAGATCCCTGAGGACTCAGATGCTCCTTGGTCTTGCCATCAGGCTGCCTGGCAGCTGCAAAGGACAAATGCTTCTGTTTCTACTTATCTCTGTATCTAACATTAAAAGAACAGGCTCAGGATACCAGTTGGCAAGGAGAGAAAAAGTAGCACTTGGATTTTTTTTCTTTTTAAATATAGAAAGTCTATGCTCTACCATTTCTTAACTTTTTATCATAGGAAACTTTCCTCAGTAGAAATTTTTATTGGCTTTCCCTCAGCTGGACCAAACTCGCATCAAGGTGGCACTTTGTGGGGAGGCGAGGGGGCAGCAGTGCAGGGTTGGCCGAGTCTACCCCAGACCACCTCTTACTTACACCCAGAGCTGGAGCGCTCACTGGGCCCGCGCTGCCTCTGCGCTCTCCATAGCTGCATGTGGTGGTTCCTCCATACTGCCTCCCTATCAGATGTGGAAACAAACAGGGCTAAGGCATCCATCAAAGGCAACACAAGTGGTGGTACAGCTAGAATCAAACCAGCTGGTAGGGCAGAACTCACAAGCACTCCATTCCAGGATCATATGCATCACCTGTCCTATCTCTCCTGCCAAAGTAAGCACCTATTAGAACAGGATGGGAAACACCTCAAAGAAGGAAACAACACTTTTTGGGGTACCTTCTCCAAGTCAGACTCTGGGTTAAGTGCTTTTCCTTTGGAATCGTGCAGTTAAAACGCTTGGCTCAGGCGGACTGACTTCTCTCATTTTACAAGCCTCATGCATTTCCAGCTGGTAAGGCCTTTCTGAGACCCAGCTCAACACATCATGGAGTCTGGAAAGGCAACCCAGGGCCACGTCCCTCACTTATCTTGACTTAAATTTTTCAACCGTCGTGACTGTGATCTGGCCTTATCATACATCCATCAAACACTTCTGCCCTAAGAGGTTCTTGACTGTGTCCTCTATGACTCACTAAAAAGAAAAGGGGGGGAGGGCAGGGAAGATTTCCTCTTTCATCTTGGGGAAATAACAGCTTCAGAAGCAAACAGAAGCTTCTCCCTGCCAGCTAAAAAGTAACATGAGACGCACTGAAGATTACCACTAATTAGCACAGAGCAAGGAGCAAGTTGGCTTTGCTCTTCTCCTCAGTGGCCAAGCTGCCTCCTAATCTCTGCCTCTGATTGTCCCCAAGGGTCCTTCTTTCCCCAAACCCACGCCACTTCCTGGCTGGGTGTACAACACTGGTGCTCACTTAATGCACCTCCCACCTATGAAGCGGCAGGCAGAAATGAGGGCTGCTGCCTCAGCCTAACTCCTTTTCTCTTAGAAGCAACAATAAGTAATCTCCAAAACTGAAACTTCCAAGAGAAGGCAATTCTAACACTGCCACGACCACCTTACAGTGACTTAAACCAGTGCCTAGCAATAGAGATACAAGGGGAGCTATGCAGGCACTTTGCATATTTCTACTAACCACATTAAATGAGAAGCCGTTGAAATTAATCTTAATAGGTTAATCATTTAATCAGATACATCAAAAATATTATCATTTCAACATATAACCCATAATAAAATTATTAATGAGCTATTTTACATTCTTCTTTTCATTTTCTCTTCATGCCAGGTGGGTAAGGTGCCAACGTCGTAACGAGATTTGTGGGAGTCCCATCTCACGCATGCTCATGAAAACCCAACCATCAGGCTTATGAACTACTAAAAGGATCGTACATTCTTTTCAGTCTTCCTTAATATGAAATTAAGCAGTGCCCTTTACACTGACAGCCCAACCCAGGTAGGTCACTCAGCTAGCTCACTTGGTAGAACATGAGACTCTCAATTAGGACGAGCCACATTTCACATTCTCAGCACCCACATGTGACTGTCAGCTACTGTACCGGTCAGCACAAACAAATACTGTTCTCTCTGTCATTGTCCTGCAAACACAGGACCGTTCATCAATTTTCACTTTATGTGATCAAAAATTATTAGAGGAATAAATATGACTCATTTTGCCTCCAACCGCTTTCAATTTGGGTAAATATAATGTATTTTCTCAATTTTTACTATAACCTTGTGAAATAGGCCTCTACAGCATTTAAGATGGGTAACAGATTGGCATAATACCATCTCTCTCTTTCTTTCTTCTTCTTTCTCTCTTCCCCTCCCCTTCTCTCTCTCTTCTTCTTTCTTTCTCTCTCCCTCTCCCCTTCTCTCTCTCTCTCTCTCTCTCTCACACACACACTACACATACACGCTGCTATTACATGCTCTCAGTCAGATCCTTGATTGCTTTAGGGCTGCTCAGTCTTCTACTGCCTTTCCCAAAGAATTTACTGTAATAATCTAAGTGCCTCTATTTAAAGGGATTTATAAATATCAGATCCTCCTGGTCCTTAAACCAAACTTAGCAGCAGTCAGGGCCACCTTAGTCCTACAGGGGAGCTTGTATGGTCAGTGTCCAGCCTGATCCCTGAACAACCTTTAGCTCCCCAGCCTTCTGGGAGCCCTGTGTCTTCTCAAGACCATGTCATCCCTGCCTTCAGCTCATAAGCAAGGTTAGACATATAAGAAAATTGGCTTGGCATCCATAGCAGAGTGGTTATGGCACCAGCCACATACACTGAGGGTGGCGGGTTTGAATCCGGCCCGGGCCAACTAAACAACTGCAACAACAAAAGAGAAAATAGCCTGGCATTGTGGCAGTCACCTGTAGTCCCAGCTACTCGGGAGGCTGAGGCAAGAGAATTGCTTAAGCCCAAGAGTTTGAGGTTGCTGTGAGTTGTGATACCACGGCATTCTACTGAGGGCGACATTGTGAGACTCTGTCTCAAAAAAAAAAAAAGAAAAGAAAAGAAATCAAATAAACAAGCATATCAAAAGTATTCTGGGATGACAAGGAGGAGATGTTTTCTGATACGATTAGAAAAGCTTTCCTTAACAGTTAACACTTGAAAAACCAGCAGGATTTAAAAAGGTGAAGTCAGGAGAAAGGATGTGTCAGAGGATGGGGCGCTCCGGGGTGTGGGAGGAAGTCACAGGCGCACTGTCCAGTGCAGGGGAAGAAGGGCATGAGGAAGGGACAGCGCAGGACACAAGGCAGCAAAGGTGAGCATGCACCATCTTCCGACGTCTCGGACAGTGACTAAGGATTTGGGATTTTATCGGCTGAGAACTAGGGCAGGCACAAACTGAAAGTTCTGGAGAAGATTTAACACCAACAGAGGACTATTTTAAAATGCCAATCTGATAGTGGGGCAACAAACAGAGAGTTAAAAAAACAAAAAGCCAAATACCATCCTCAGGTGTTGGGCCACAGCAACCTAAACGATGGCAGTGGAGGTAAGGAAAGGCCAGGAGAGGGTAAGAGTATGGAAAGTAATTGCAAGAGCCAAAGGTACCTCCAGTTAAAGTCTACTGTTATTGGAATGATGGAAATAGGAAAAGCACAAACAGGGAAGTCAGGAAGTCAGTAGAACTCCAGGTCTGTCTCCCCTTGCTGGTAACCTACAGAAGAGATAATGATCTTGGGTTTTGACATGTTAATTTTCCTAATAAGGCCTGAATCTGTTCCAGGCACCTATTTTGATAGTTTAAGGGAATGACTGTTGAAAGAAACCCAGTAAGCACTTACTTTCCTTAGAGCTTGCTTAACTGGTTATAACTCAAACTGGATGGTCACTTAACTTCGTAAGCGGGTCTTGGCAATCTGCTCAGTTGTCCTCTGAATGACCTCAGCAGATCTGCTGACCACTATTCACATCTGCCCTGACCACTGATGGAAGGAAAATTCCAATCTGGAGATGGAACCCTCTGAAATAGACTTGACTTAGGAAAGGGTCCCAGTATAGAAGGCAGACCATAAGATCTGAAAACTTTTGTGCTTCAACATTTAAAGTGAAAGAAAATGTACCCATAAGTATCAGTGATAAAGTTCCTCGTCAATGATCTCCTAAGTTCTCTGACATCTAGGAGTCAAGATGCCCATTTTGCTTAATTCACGATGCTGGAACATTTCACAGAAATTCTGTCACATGTTTGGAGGGGTCAATCTCCTAAATAACTAAAACATCAGAGGCCCAAAGGGCTTCAGAAAAACAGAAATGATTGTTTCTCTAAACACACTGAGTATCAAAGCTCCCTGGCGCTCTTCAGAAGGTATGAAATTAAATTAACACCGTTAGGAAAAGGATGGAATGTGTCTGGGCACACACTCAGAGACACATCCTTTAGAGCCATTCCCAAACACGTCACCCTTTGCAGACTTTATCAACTTTTCTATAACATGTGGTAATAACATTTTTTAAACAGTTTTAAAAGCACTCAGCTTTTAAAAAATGAATGAGGCTACTTTACTGAGTGAAAAACAGAGGGATAATTTAGAAAGCAGAGTATAATTATCCAGGTTGGAAGACAACCCAGTCATAGATTCCTAGTTGCCTCTTTTAATGGTTATCAGTCTCCAGAGAGGGCTCCTGACAGTTCCCCACTTCCTTGGAGGCACATGCTCCAGAGACAGACTGACTCTGTGCTCCCTGGACTCTGGGCTGGTCTTGTGACTTGCTTTGATCAACAGAAGGAGGTAAAAGTAACATTCTTGGACATTCAAGCCCAGGTCTTAAGAGGCCTGGCAGCGTCCACTTCCTCTCTCGGAAGCCAGCCACCATGTGAAAAGTTTGGCTACCCAGCTGGAAAGAGAGATCTCGTTGACAGAGGCCTGAAACCACCTTGGACAGTTGAGTCCAGCTGAAATCCCAGCTGAATGCAGCTGCGTGCCCGAGCCCAGGGGAGAATAGCAGAGGAACCCCAGCCATCCCACAGAATCATTAGAAATAATACTGGCGGAAGAAAAAGTATCCAATGTACATACACCTATTACGAAATTAATTTAAACCTTTTTATATGAAAGCTATAACCTAATAACAACCTAAGGATACGGGGAGGGTGGAGGGAAGGGGGAGAGGGTGGAGGGAGAGGGATTCGAGGGTTCACTTCTGTGGTTCATCTTACAAGGGTACAAGTGAATCTTTTTATGAGTAGAATATGAATGTTTTAACACAATAACTAAGAAAATTACATGAAGGCTATGTACCCCCAAAGTGCATCAATGTACACAGTTACCATTCAATAAAAAAAAAAAAGAAAAAAAAAAAAAAAAATACTGGCACTGTTTCAGGCCACTACACTTGGGGTCATTTGTTACCTAGTAATAGATCAGTGAGACCATGGGTGACAAATGGTTAATAAGTGAGCCTGACTACCATCCATCTGTAACCATCTGTGATCATCTGGAGATTTTGTAAATTTCTCTTGGCGAACTAATTTAAATGGAGAAAAACAGACAGGACTTTATCATGTCATAGTTAAGCATTCCAGAGCTTAAACATCTAGAATGATGTATGGTCTTGACATTGGATTCTGGCAACACTACCTCCAGAACCCTACAGGGCTAGAAAAAATAACTCATTGTTTGGTGACGCTCTCTCCCCATTGTGTTCCTGCTTTGTGTAACACAAAACCACAAGCCCACCTGCAAATATTTATGTTAGAAAGATTAACAATATGGTGGATGCTGGCGTAAATAAGACTTTGATGTGAGTATTGAGAGGATGAGGAAAATTTAACAGAGGCCTTAACTAAGCTACTTTATGGCACAGACTGCATAGAGCCACAGGCACACAATGACCAGGCAGGCATGGGGTAGTCTGATTATTAGCCCTAATTCCTGACCCTCCCTACATCCATAACCTTGCTGGGAACGCACTGTGTTTGGACTCTACCTTTCTGCATCATGACTTAGGGCATAGTTGTGTGACCTGCTTTGGCTAAAGAAATGTAGGTGCAAGTGATAGTGTTCCAGCTTTATGTCCAAGTTTACGAGGCATCACATGTACTGCTTGCACTTTTGTCCTTGTGCAAAAAAAAAAAAAGGAAGTCCCCATTGGCTCACTAGTCCAGAAGGAAGACAGAGAGCAGTGCCAACTCAGCTGACCCTCCTACTCATGATCAAGAAAGCCATGCTTATTGTTAAATGCCTTGGAGATCTTAAGGTTGCCTACTACCCAACAATAGTTGACTCATACAAGGATCCTTTAATGGATGCTAACATGTACACAATACACATGGTCCTTTAGAACAATAGGCTCTTCCTGGCTATACGAGTTGTAACTAAACTAAGAAATGGATGATTAGGTGGTCTCATTGCCAAGCAGAATATAAGCATTATACAATATATTGAGTAGTATCAAATCTTGCTTTCACAATCTACAATTATCTTTCTAAAGATTATAATTTGCTATTCAAAGTTCTCTGTAATTTAACCCTAACTTAGTTTTCCAGCCAATTCTCTTGTACTTACGTTTTACATTTCATTTTAATTGGATTATTTATCATCTTGAATACGAATGTAAGATATGTCATCTTACATTACTTATCCTTTCTTCGTCCAGTTCTTTCCGGCCCTCCTAATCCGACAGGTTAGATTCTTCCAGTCCTTTAAGGCCAAGTTCATCTCTGATGTCATCTCTGTAAGAAATCTGCTCTGATTCTGCCTTTTAAAGCAGACTGTCCATCCCCTGACTCTTACCATGATGTATGTCTTTTCCTCTTATGGGATTTGGCTTATGCTGCCTCACAACACTTCCTTACCCTCTTACAAAGTCCTAGACAGCAAGGTTTATGGATTATTTACCTCTGTAATCTCATGGCATTTAGCAAAAGGCCTTG